TATCCTTAAACAACTGGTTTTTCCCCATCTCCTCCACAAGTTATACTGACATCAAATATAGTGAAAGCAAGGGTTATACTGTGGGGGAGGGACATACAAAGCAACAAAGAGATAATCTTATAAATGTGTTAGAAACACATGCATGAAAGAAAAAAACATTAAAATACACATCTAAGGGTTCATTTTCCTGACATCACATTATCTGACCTTTTCCGCTTGACTCATACATATACTAGATATTACAAATAAGGGAAACCATGGGACCTACGTTTCTTTGGGCCTGGCTTACTTCACTTAATATAATTTTTTCCAAGTTTTTCCATTTCCTAACAAATGGGGCAATGTCATTCTTTCTGATGGAGGCATAGAATTCCATTGTGTATATATACCACATTTTCTTGATCCATTCATCTACTGAGGGGCATCTGGGTTGGTTCCATATCTTAGCTATGGTAAATAATGCTGCAATAAACATAGTTGTGCTGGTAGCTTTAGTGTGGTCTTGTTTGTAAACATTAGGGTAAATGCCCAAAAGTGGGATTGCTGGGTCATAGGGGAGCTCTATGTGGAGTCTTTTGAGGAACCTCCATACTGCTTTCCAAAGTGGTTGAACAAGTTTACATTCCCACCAACAATGAAGTAAGGTTCCTTTCTGTCCACATCCCCTCCAGCATCTGTTGTTGTTAGAGTTCTTGATTTTTGCCGTTCTCACTGGAGTGAGGTGATATCTCAATGTTGTTTTGATTTGCATTTCTTTTATGGCTAGGGATGTTGAACATTTCTTCATGTGTCTATTGGCCATCCTTCTTTCTTCTTCAGAGAAGTTTCTCTTTAAGTCTTTCGCCCACTTATTTATTGGGCAGTTGTTTCTTTGAGGATTTGTTGTTGGGGGGTTTAATTTTTTGAGTTCCAAGTATATTTTAGATATGAGACCCTTGTCCGTTGTATGGCTAGTAAAGATCTTCTCCCAATCCGTGGGCTTTCTATTGATCTTGCTAGCTATGTCATTTGCCCTGCAGAAGCTCTGCAACTTTATGCAATCCCATTTGTCCAATCTTTCTTTGATTTGTTGTGTTTCCAGGTCTCTATTCAGAAAATTTCGGCCTGAGCCAAGGAGACCTAGGGTTTCTCCTATTCCATCCTGTAATGTTTTCAGAGTGTCTGCTTTGACTTCAAGGTCTTTGATCCATTTGGAGTTGATTCTGGTGCAGGGTGATATATAAGGATCTAGCTTAAGTTTTCTACATGTAGTTAACCAATTTTGCCAGCACCATTTACTGAAGAGGTTGTCCTTCTTCCATTCTATTGTTTTAGCTCCCTTATCGAAGATTAGATGGCTATAGGTCTGTGGGTTCATTTCTGGGTTTTCAATTCTATTCCATTGGTCCTGAGGTCTGTTCTTATGCCAATACCAAGCTGTTTTGATTACTATGGCTTTATAGTAGAGTTTGAAGTTTGGTATTGATATTCCTCCAGCAGTGTTCTTTCCATTCAGGAGCGTTTTTGCTATTCGGGGTCTTTTATTGTTCCATATGAATTTTTGGATTGCCTCTTCTATTTCCTTGAAGAATGAGGGTGGAATTTTGATAGGTATTGCATTGAATTTGTAGATAGCCTTGGGAAGTATTGCCATTTTCACGATGTTAATCTTTCCAATCCAGGAGCATGGGAGGTTTTGCCATTTTTTAAGTTCTGTGTTGATTTCCTTTTTCAAGATTTTAAAGTTTTCATCATAGAGGTCCTTCACTTCTTTAGTTAAGTTAATTCCTAGGTATTTTATTTTTTGTGGGGCTATTACAAATGGAGTTGCTTTCCTAATTTCAGCCACACTTTTCTCATTGTTGGCATACAGAAAAGCCATTGATTTTTGGGGGTTAATTTTATAACCTGCTACTTTGCCGAAGTTTTGAATCAGCTTGAGTAATTTGGGAGTGGAGTCTATAATTAGGTCATATTTAAATGAAGGTCATTCCACAAAACAATTTATATATATTTCTAAGTATGAAATCTTACTATTTACAGATAGGGTTAGTTCAGGAAACATTTATTAATTTTTTCTTTTTTGGGGTCTGGTCGTGGGGCCTGAACTCTGGGCCTGGGCGCTGTCCTTCAGCTCTTCAGCTCAAGGCTAGCGCTCTACCACTTGAGCCACAGCGCCACTTCCGCTTTTTTCTTTTTGCTTATGTGGTGCTGAGGAATCGAACCCAGGCCTCAAGCATGCAAGGCAAGTGCTCTACCACTGAGCCACTTTCCCAGCCCCAGGAAACATTTATTTTGGCCAAGGTTATAGATGTATATGTTTATGTATTTGCAGACTGCCTAAAAAATAAAACAAAACTGCAGTGTTAAAGGAATTCTGTTGTTGAAAAACAAAGACTGCCTTAATTTTAGACCTGAACTATAAGATTATTTCTCCATGTCACATGATAGAATAGTTAATACACGTATTTGTTTCAGCCCCAATTTCAACAAGCATTTATTGAGGACCTGAATATAACTAAGTTTATACGATGTGGTTTGATTGCTAGGGTGCATGTTCTATGCTGAATTCTATCAAAAATAAGTTGTTTACTGTTTTAGCAGGATGACCTCTAATCAGGCCTAGTTTTTCTGTACTGCATCAGCAGGTTTACCTATTGATTAACTGTTGATTCTATTTTTAAGTTCAAACTTTGGCCAGGCAGTGATTGAAATGGATTTATTTTTGCAAGCAAGCAGTCTTAGAAGAACTATTGAGAAATACTGAAACCATTTCGTTTATTTAGAAAGTTAAACAAGTATCTTTATTTCACCAGATAAAACATCTGTATCAGAGTGGCTATACAATAAAGGTCTCTAGTTGTCATGTTTTCTGTAAAAATATCACTAAGACCTGTTAGGTTAAGGTATAAAAATCTCATGGAACTAAACTTAAAAATGTTTAAGTAATCCTCATTTGATTTAGTCTAGGTCTAGCTTTAGTCAGAATTGGTATTATAAGTAGGACATTTTTTATTTTAAAAGGAGAGAAAGTTCATCAAATCCTTGAGGAACAGTTTAACATTTGGGTCACTCTTCTTAATAACATTGGGTTTGTAGAACTGATATTGATCTAGAACTAAAAATTCTATTTCTGTGTAGGAGTTTTTAAAAATTGATTTCAGAAAATCAATTTTTAAAAGCCAACCTTCCCTGAATTTGCATTTCTTATTAAATTTTACTTTATGTTATGTTACTGTATTTTCCTTATATTTAATCCATACAACTGAAGCTTTTTCCTATGTAAATAATAAAATTACTTGGAATAGACACATGTTAAAAATATTTTTTAAAAAGTCGTAAAGCCATGTAGTATAGTATGCAAACATTTTTCTATAATGAAAATAATTTCTTCTTTCTTTCCCTTCCCTTTTCTTGCTTCCCTTCTCTTCCCTTCCTTCTTGTTCTGTTGGTGTTAGGGATTGAACCCAAGATTTTGATTTGTTAGGCAAGCACTCTATCACTTGACATATGGCTCCAGCCCTCCCCCCACATTTCTACTCTATTTTCATAAAATTAATTTGTTAATAGTGCAGTAACAGATTTAATGTCATAAGTAATATATATCTCCTCCAAATAATTTGGAGGCAAGTTATTAGTTGAAACAACTGATTAAACAAATATGCCACAAATATGCTTCTCTAGTGATATGACTCATGTCTTCAGGTGGTATTTTTGTGTCTGGGGAAAGAGGCAAACTATAAAATCAGCTTGTTTCTGTGTACATTCCTTTTATGATCAAGACAAATGGAGCTCTTGAAAACCTTATAGAGTGTTACCTGAAAGATCACCTTGAAGGATTTCAATTTTTCTCTTCATTACCTTGTTTCTTCTTTTGCTTTCCTTAAGTCTGTCAGACACACTTGATTGTGATTGATTAGAGGGAAAACCAGGCATTTACTTATGGAATGAACCATGTTTACTTTCTGCCAGTGGACATTGGTTTTGGAGCAGTATAGCATAGTGAGTTCTGAAGAGAGACCCGTATGTGACTACAACACTGGACTGTTCTGTGGCCCTAACAAATACTTTCTATCTAGTTAACCTCCTCAGTTTCTTCAATAAAATGGGATTAACAATATCTTAATTTATGGTAAAGAAATAATGAATAAATTAATTCCCATTTTCCTGGTACAGTCTCTTAGGAGTTGTCATTACCTGAGTGTTGGTAGCTTACCTGGGGGACACAAGGAAAGATTCAGTAAATCTTGAATGATGGCCTGACTTCTTGAAAGGCACTTTCTCATGTTGTGACAAATTTTGTGAGAAAATGGAGAAAGGAAAGCTCATTGGATAAGGCCTTATGAATTAAATATAAAAAATCAAAGGGGTGTAAGTAAAATGTTCATAGGATGATCTGAGCGTGGTGATGCATGCCTGCAATCTCAACCTTCAGGAGGCAGAGACAGAAGGATAATGGGTTTCGGGCTAGCATGGAGGATGTACCATGCCTCTGTTTCCAAAAACTAAAACAAAAACTAGAAAATTAATAGGATAAAATAAAATGCTATGAGTGATGGAATATGCATTGCACTAAAAAAATTCATGTGTTGAATTGAAACCCCTTTGTACAACTACTTAAAGATAATAATAATAATAAAGAATGGGTAATTTAAAAATGCTATGATACAAGGGAAAGCGACTCTAAGCCCAATATGGCAGCTCTGATAGAATTAAACAAGTGTGTTATTTATTTATAAAACCAGGCGATAGTGGATGTCTGAAAGGCAACGGGCAGGAAGTGGCCTGTTAGCTTTTCCCAGCCCTGGTCTGACCCCAACCTTGGCTACTTTGCGTCTCCCCTTTAAGGAGGATGTGGGGAACTGGCAGAGCTCCAGGGAACAGCAAAAATGTAATTAAGGCTCGGAAAATAAGGGGTATGAGGAAAGGCCAAAAAAGCTGTAGGGTTATTTAGCTTAGAGGGGAAAAAAGTTCCAACTGATTTGAAGAGTCACTACAAGATTCTGGTTGTTTCCCATCTCCACAAATAACAGGGCAAGAGGAAAGAAGCTTATGTTGTATGGGGTAAGGGTTTAGGCTGTGAGAATTGTTACCAATGAGGTTCTCAAGGCTCATACTGGCAATTGAGAAAGAAATGCATTAATTATAGTGGAGTGCATTAACTAGATTTATTTACCTACAAAGGAACAGTGAAGGTGGTATCCAACTATTAGTTTTTGTGTTGTTTTGAAGAGAAGCCTATTACTTACTGTTTGAAAAATTTAGTTTTTTCCCTAAGTTTAGATGCAAATTAGGTAAGTTCAGACAAAGCTTTGCTCCATTATAGTGATTTCTGGCCAATCAGCAGGTTAAAACAGTCACGTTCCTCTTTGAGGCTGCATTTGTTCACTGCATTTCAGGAGAAACTATATCTGTTTATTACTTTTAGGAAGACTGATAAACACCAGCCAGCTCTGGCATCCATATTGCAAGGATGAAGCAGGGCTGCAACCGTTTGAACCCACTTGAACCCACAGTGCTCTCTCTGTCTTCTCTCCCTTCCATTTTGGCCCTTCGGCTGTGAGTAGGGGAGATGAGGACCTGCAAAGATTATGAGGAGTTTCAACTCAGGATATGGTGTCCAAGTCAGAGGGAGAGAAGAGAATTGGCTTCTGTACATCTGTACCTACCACCGCTTCATGCTGTTTCCAATTTAGGTGCTGATGTCCAACTTTAGCTTGTTTCTTCTGCTACAAAACAAGGACAAACTTGGTAAGGTTTAAAAACAAATAAAGAAAATTATCTTTCATGTTACTTCTTTCTCCCTCCCTCACTCTCTCTCTTCCTCTCTTTCTTTCTTTTTTCTCTTTCTTTCTTTCTTTCCTTCCTTCCTTCCTTCCCTCCCTCCCTCCCTTCTTTCTTTCTTTCTCGTTCTGGGGCTTGAACTCAGGATTTTGCACTTATTCAGCTGGCAACTACTGTTGAGCCCTGTTCCTCTCCATACCTCACACTGGTATTTTGAGATAGGGTCTCTCTTTTAGCCTAGGCACTTGCCTGAACTAAGTTGTTCTTAAATTTGGCTTCCCAGTGTAACTGGGATGACAGGTGTTTGCCACTACACCCAGCTTCTCCCTTTGATTCTGAAGTCTTGAGTCTTGCAGACATTTTCTGCCTGGGCTGACCTAGAGCCACAATTGTCTTCATCTCATCTCCTGCTAAGCAAAGTTTATAGGTCTGAGTCTCTTGCTCCTGGTTCTCTTTTCCTTCTTTTTCCTCCCATCCTTCTTGTCATGATCATTTCTGTCTTTAATTTTCAATTACATCATTGATATACAATATACCTTGATACTTTTCCAATGATAAATATTCAGCTCCCATTCCTTTTTTGAACTGTTGCTTTTCTATTCCTTGTGTGGATATTCTGACCATTTTGGAGAGATATAATTTAGAAATAATTCAGTGATAATGGTATAAATCATAATAATAATTATCTCTGGAAAGCTGTTGACTGGAGGTGACAAGTGGGAATATTCTAGCGTGTGAAAGTACTTTTTTCTGTATTTCATTCCTTTAAAAACTCTCTTTTCCTTCCTTTACATTTGGTATTTTGGATGTACTATATCTGACTTTGAGAGGTGTTAAGTTGGTGGTATATACATATAAAATGTGTTATTTGTGGACTTTACATCCTTCATTGTATATAAATATTATACCGGACTGTAAGTTTAAAAATGTGAATTAAAACCATTATATTTAAAAGATAGTATAAAGCACTTAATTCTATTTGTAAAGGAATAGGATAGGAATGCAGGAGAAGGCAGGGAGGAAGGGAGGTAACATTTATGAAGCACCTCTTCTCTGGTAGCCATGTTACATAATTTCACATAGTATGGGGATATTCTTGTTCCATTTTTATAGATGAAAAGACAGAATGGATAAGAAAATTGCTCCACTTTGGTCAGTAACAGGATCAGGGTTTCAACAGACTCTAAAGTGCCCAATATAATTCTGAAAAGAGGTTTTTAAGACAGAAAAAAGTGAGGTTCAGAGGCTGAATGAACTGTTCATGCTCTCGGCAAGTGGCAAGTCCAGGGATCTAGTCTAGTGCTCTTTTATGGGACAATCTACTTCTCCACTTATTTTTCAGATTGTTCAACTAAGTAGTTCTTCTTCTTCTTTTTTAACACACTGAAATTGGCATTAAAAGTTGGAATTTACTATTTGAGCGATTTCTATAAATTTCAGGCCCAAAATATTCAAACATGTAGCATTCATGAAAGGGTGAACTAAAAGTATTCGAGAGTCTGAGAACTTCTTTCATTTTGGCCCTGAGTAACTTTGTAAATTATATGCTTTTATAGAAAATGATTTGGTTTTTAACCTCAGAAATGTATATGAGGAAGATCATGGTTTGGAATCTGGCGGATGGTGTATCATTTGTTAGAAGATGACAAAGATCAAATGGACCAAGAGGAAGGTCACAGACAATTCAGAAAAATTTGTACAAAGTATGAACTGCAGAGATCTCTGTGTCATTTTGTTATTTTGCTTATAAAGGTTGGTTTCCCTTTGGCTTAATTCTTTACAAAGTTTTAAGTTCTTTTTCCTTCCTCTCCATTTGATATTTTTCTACTTCTTGTTACTGAGTAGTATGTTTTCATTTCATCTCTGTACTTGGTATGAGTTTGTTGATCAAATCCACTTAACCATATTTTAAAAACTGGTAATTGCTTTCATTTAGTTATGGCAGAAATGCAACAAGAATACATACTCTCAACATACCAGTTCACTCCCATAATTGCAAATGCATTTGATTCTAAAATCTATCTGTTGAGAATAGTACAACTTTTTTTTTTTTTTTTGCCGGCCATGAGGCCTGAACTCTGGGCCTGGGCGCTGTCCCTCAGCTCTTCAGCTCAAGGCTAGCGCTCTACCACTGGAGCCACAGCGCCATTTCCGGCTTTTTCTGCTTATGTGGTACTGAGGAATCGAACCCAGAGCCTTATGCTTGCAAGGCATGCACTCTACCGCTGAGCTACCTTCCCAGCCCCAAATAGTGCAACTTTTAAATTCCCAAGAACACATTTCCTAGAATTATAAATAACAGAATCTTAGAATGTTAGCCAGAGAAGAAACCTAAGTCCTAATTTTACACATGAGGAAACACAAGCCCAAGTTAGCCAGCAACCTGATGGAAATGATGCTTTTCTTTTTCTTTTGGTTGGTTGTCAGTCTTGAACTCAGGGCCCAAACACTGTCCCTGAGTTTGTTTTTAACTCAAGGCTAGCGCTCTACTACACCTCTACTTCTGGTGTTTTGGAGATTAATTGGAGATAGGAGTCTCACAGACTTTCCTGCCAAGGCTGGCTTTGAACTGCAATCCTTACATCTCAGCCTCCTGAGTAACTAAGATTACAGGTGTGAGCCACCAGGGCCCACTGCTATGTCTTTATTAAGTGAATTTGTAGTGCCTACATGCTTAGTTAAAGTGAATTTAGAGATTCAAATTACAATGTATAAAAACTGGAAATGGATTTTGGACAGTTTTGTCATAGTTTGTAAACACAGAAGTACAGGTAAAGAAAATAAGAGAAGAAAAATACAGTATATGTCTTCCAGCCATGTAAATACTTGGTTATATAACTAGGTTAGAAATCAGTAGAATCACCTTAGAAGGCCTTCTTTGTCACCTCTAGAGTGGAGCTAAGTGAAAAACATAGACCTACAGGGTGCCAGTGGCTCATGCCTGTAATCCTAGCTACTCAGGAGGCTGAGATATGAGGATGGAGGTTCAAAGCTAGCCTGGGCAGGAAAGTCCCTGAGACTCTCATCACCAATAAACTATGCAGAAAAGGTTGGAAGAGGCGCTGTGGCTCAAAGGTAGAATTCAAGTTTGGCCTTGAGTACAAAAGCTCAGGGATACCGCCCAGTCCCTGAGTTCAAGTCTCAGGAGCAGCATACACACACACACACACACACACACACACACACACACACACACACACACACACACACACACACACACACAAAAGGCAAACAAACAAAAAAACCATAGACTTGTATTTCCTCCACTAAAATATGTATGATGCGTAACACGGCACTTTGGACTTTTTTTTGACTGTCCGCACTGAGAACAAAATAGCTAAGTCTAATCTTATGTCTGCAAATTTTGATGCAATTTTTCTGACAATGACAAACTCATCAAGTTTGTCTATTATCTGATGAAGAAAACACTTGCTTCAAGGTGAGTTGCTACTATACTAGATATAATTTTGAGATGTTCTTTCTGGAAAATACCACTTTATAATATGTAAGTCTAACAGGAGTTACATTTCCTTCTTCTACCTGAAATTTTTTTTGTTCTTTTCTGATTACAAAAATAATAGATGAATGCAGAAAAGTCAAGCAATGACTGATTTCCTAATCAATGTCAGCATTTTGGTAAGCATCCTTTCTGATATTGCTAAGGTATCTTGTTTTATCTACTCTATGCATGCATTTGTGTATATGGATGTATAGACTATGCAGATATATGTACGTATATACAAAGGTACATTTGTATATGTACATATATGTATGTGTGAGTATATACACTAATATACACATATAATGGATATCTGTAAATTTAATGTAAACAGTATCATGTTCTTTTGTACTTTGGGTTTTTACTTGGTAATTTACCATGCAGGCTTTCTTTCTTTTAACAAGTATTAAATTCTACTTAATAACAGCAGAGCAACTCATTGTATATATTACCAGAATTTAATTCCCAACTGGTAGCCATTGGATTTTTCCAATTTATTATTCATCAAGGAGTAAATTAATATTCTTGTACATATACCTTTACCTCATGAGCCTATTTATTAATAAAGTAGATAAAATGTGGAAGGCTCACCCATATTATTGGTTTGCTTTTCAAAAATGTTAAAAATTTTTTTTTTACTACTTTCAATTGTTCCTGACAACATTGAACAATATAAAATAGACTTTTCAGTCCATTGACTTCAAAGTCTACTCAAAATTAGTATGCAGTATGTAAATTCTGGTAAACCTGTCAAATATTCTTAATGAACAGATTAAAACAGATGTGATACAAATGATTAGTAAGCGAAACACGTCTTTTCAGCTGTTTGTCAACAAGCTGGAAAATCTTCTGTTACTTTCAGATCCACCATGCCTTAATTGTAGTAATTACTTGATTTTCGACTTGTGTTCTCTGGTGTCTTTTAAATTAAAGTGTTAGCTCTCTGAAGATAACAACTGCACAACAACCCAAAGGACCATGGTTGTGTTTGTCCCTCAATGAACTTTGTATATGAAGAAAGAACGACACGATTTTCCATTTGCTTCTCTCCCTTCAGCAGCTGCCACTTTCCTTCTTTTCCTTAGCTTTTTAAATAGGAGCATAATATTTGCCCAGGACAAATAAAAACAGATTAGAAATTTGGAAGGTAGCATTATGTAATGGGTGTTAAGGCAGCTTGATTTAACTTCTTGCTCTTCCATTTATTAGACCTACGAACCTGGACAAATTGATGAACTCTACTATGTCCTAATTCTGTTGTAAAATGATGATAATTGATTTTATTAGATATTCATTATATTTATCATTATATTTATTAGATACTCGTTTTAATGTGTGTGTACATGGTTGGCTTGTGGGCATAATAACTTTCAAATTAAACAGCCTTCCTGTTTTGTGGGCATAATAACTTTCAAATTAAAGCCAACAAGAAGCTTAAAGTTAATAGGGATTAGTGGCTAAGATTTCAACAAAATCAATTTAGAACATAGATCAATTGATAAAAATTAGGTTTTTATGTTAATAGAAGTTAATAGAATTATAATCCCTTTTTACAACTAGTTAATAGTAGTAATAATAAAACAAAACAGAGAGGTGCTTGTAGTATTGAACTAGAGGAAGAATGGGATTGAGCTATAGGAACCATAAGAACATTTTATTAGGGTAAAATATGACTTCAGTCTGTAGCCTAACGCACCACATTATACAACTCCAGGAAATAAAAAACAAAAAATAAAAATGTGGAAGTTGAACTCTAGTAACCTTTGTTCTTTTCCAACTAGCAATCAACCTTTCATAATGACAACCTTCTTAAGCCCTTTCAACTAGACTTGCCTTTCTGCACTACAGCATATGTGCCTGAGCTTATTTTCCACATTAAAATAAGAGTCGTAAAAATGTGGAAATATCTTGTGGGTTTGATCACTAAGTTTGGAGAAGGTTTCTGCATTCACGGCTGGAGACAACTCAGGGAAAGGCACTGGCACCTGGGAAGCCTATTTTCGATGCTCACTTCCTGCCACCCACATTTCTTGTACATCAAGCCTCTTAGTCACAGCCAGTACCCTTCTGCAAACATGTAGAGCAAAAGATGTTGCACATAATAAACACTTTCAAATTTGGGTCAAAGGGAGTTCTCTTTGAAAGGCAGAATTTTAAAAAAATTATTTTATTATTTTATTTTTATTAATAATAAGTTTTTTTATTGGGAAAATACAGTACAGAGCAGTTACAATTACATGAGCAAGGTAATGAGTACATTTCTTATCAAGCATTGTTTTTCCCCTTTTTTCCTTTGTTTTTCCCTTACCATCCCTGCCCTCCCATCTCCATGACTACACTCCCCCCCCCCCTCTTTTCTATACAAGGGGGGAGTCATTGTGACATTTCCATACATATGTATCCCAATCAAACCCCATTTATCATGTTTTCTTACCACATTTCCTAAAACAATTTCAACAGGTTTTATTACTCTGTTTTCACACATGCAAATAAATTGCTTAGACCATAGTCATCTTCATCACCCTCTTCATTAATTCTCCCTATTCCCACTGGTTCCCACACCTCCAACAGAGCTGATTTTACTTCCCTGTCATTTTTTTTTTTTAAAGTATGTACTAATTATACCAAGGGATTTCACTATGGTATTTCAGACATGAATCTATTTTGTTCAGAATAATTTTTGTTGCTTTTTCTTCCTCCACCCCAAATCTCCAATTGATCAGCAGCTTTCATTGAGATTCCGTGTGTGAAAGGCAGAATGTTTAAAAAGATGAGCCAAATGTGTAGTTTGAGGAAGCAGGAAAACATCCTCTACCCTGAAAGCAAAAGTACATTTCTCCCCTTTCCTCTAAGGAAGCGAGATCCTCATTTATTTATTTATTTATTTTTGTTCAAGACTCAGCAGAAACACAATGCTTCATTTTAAAATGCCACATTACAACAAAGAACAGCACTATACTTTCTGTGGGGATGAAGTGCTTCACTTGGCTGGAAGCCAGCTCAGCTCAGTGTCATTCAGCACTTCTGCAACTTCTGACACTGGCAAATACCTTCATGTTTATGCATTCTGTGTTCTTTCAGGAAGCATTTTTAAAACAGTTTTTAACAGCATGTCATTAGATACGGCAGTTAGATTGTGCATGTGACCAGATGTCTTATGCCTGGTGGAAAATTGGGATAGTCCATCAGGCCCTGTAAGTTAAGATGCCACCCACTTCCGAGGTCAGAACTCACATAAAATCAGTTTAGGGCCCACAGGGCCATTTTGGTTCTTTTGTCATAGGAAACCTATAATTGTAAAATTCCTCCTGGATTTTCATCATTCACATGGACCTAAATAATATTCCCTTGTCTTATTTTGGTTACACGAAATTCAGTCGTTCTTGATGTGTTAACGAAGTTCTAGTCGGTCAAGTAAACATGGTTGGGGACATGGCTAAGATCTAAAGCTAAGGCCACTTCATAATTTTTGTCTATTAAAAAAAAAAAGAGATTAAAAAATTTAAAGCCGCACATCCCCGTGTCTGTCCCTTGTTACCATGGTGGACTTTTACCCTGGGAGGCTATAAATGTTTTCTACTCCTTACTTCCCGCAGGGGAACAACCTGAACATTCCATGTAACAGTCACCACCCTTGTGGACAGGCTCCATGACCCACGTGCTGAAGTCCTCAAGCATGCTGGGAGAAGGGAGGGGGAGGATCTCTTCCAAGGAGCACAGCTTTGCGGCAGGCCTTCCTTGGAACAGCAAACTGAGCCTAGCAAGTTAGAGTCATCTCCTTCAGCAATCCGGCATGACAAACTCACTGCAACTGCTTTCAAATGCTTCCCTCCTTGTTCTTAGGAAATGAGAGGCCTGGAGGAAAGACTGTTTACTCATACACTTACTGACTACAAGTGCAAACATTTACTAGGAGCTGTCTAAGGGCGTGATATGGTGCTTATACTTCCCACATTGTCTCTCTTCCTCCTTACAGTGACCATACCGAAGACGAAAGTCAACTTAAAGGAGGCAAGGAAACTTGGTCAAAGTCATATAATATAAGAGACAAAGCTGGGGCTGCATCTTTGTGAGATGCCAGGCCCAAGCTTTTAGCTATACTGCCTCCCTGAGTTAAAACATATTTTATCTTGATCTCTAACACTGTAAGCAAACAAACAAACCCAGAAATTAGAAACAAGGTGTATAGTAGATACTAGGGATAATATTATATAATATAAGCATTATATAATACTATGCATGTTTGTCACATTTATGTTGCATTATTCGATTATTAGGTTAACTATAACTAGGTTACATTTAATGTAACTAGGTTAAATGTAACAAAACTAGGATACCAGCTAGGCTCAAGCATTTTCAAACTATCTGATCTCTAAATTAGGAATAGAATTATCTCTTTCTGTTGGCTTCTCTCTGTCACTGGTTTTCTGAAGTGATCATTTGTTTTGCTTGAACAGTTGTTACTGAGAAACAGCAGCTGCAAGAAACAATTCATGTCATTACTTTCTTTCAGCTCTCTTTTTTCCCTCCCTACAACCTCTGATCCTGGCAAAAGCTGTTAGTTTGGATGAAGATGATTGACAAGGATGGGAAGCTCTTATACTTAATTCTCTTTTAAAATCTATTGAAGCAAAAACTTCTCCAATGACCCCTGACAAGGATTTTGTCATCATCCTCTGGTTCAGACAGAAACCTTCATAGAACAACAACAACAAAATGTGAAAAAACCCCAACAACACAAAACAGTCATTGCCAATAAAATTGTTGAGAGCTAAAAGGCAGAGAAACATTTGCATTTGAGGTACTATGATGCCTGTTTTTTTTTTTTTTTTTTTTTTTTTTGACACTCTAAGGGATAGTTTCTCTTTAAAGCATAGCTAGAGCAAAGAATGCGTCCGAGATTATATAATATCCTCTGATAGTGACATCAGATTTAGGGTTGGCTTACTTTTCCTTGCCTACTCACTTCTGAAAATTGCCTCTGGGATGCAGAGTCCATCCTTAAATATAGCCTTCCCCTTACTCCATATTTCATGTGAAGGTATATTCTCAGATGCCTGAAATCAGAATAAATCTCTCACTGTTCTCCAGGTCCTCCATGAGGAAGTTTCTAGCTTCCTGTTAGAGGCTGTGTTTGTAGCACACTTTCAAGTCTATACTTATTGGCAATTCAAATAAAGGGCTTAAAGGAGTCAAGGTGATACCACCATCTCTAGTATGATAAGGCAATGTCTACTAGTGTCCATGTGCTTGTCAGTACCCTGTGTGTTTGAGAGTACTCTAGTTTATTGCTGCCCCCTTAATGCTTTATATGACCATGGAATAGTGTTTACATGATTCAGAAAGCACACAATTGTTCTTTGCTGCTGGTTTGTCATGATGCTACCTTTTAAATCTGATAGACTTAATTCTAGCAGTATTTATACTCAGTTGCTGCAAAAATAAATTTTATCTTGTAAAAATTTTATTTTGTAAAGTGAATGGGGTGCTATGCTGTAAAGTGTACTATTTGAAAACCATTTTGACTTACATCTGAAAAGTAAATCACAATAAACCACAGAAATACATCTGATGGTGCTTGCTCAATTGATGGCTCTACGGACACTTGAGAGGTGACTAACTCCCTGTGGGGGTCCCTATGCTAGGTTGCCTTTCCAGTTAGTGACACTCAGAGTTGACTGCTTTGGGCGACATTTAGACATGAGATAGCTTGGTAAAGCCTGGGTAATGTCCAAGAATTTCAGTGGATAGTCAGTTGGTTTAGTCTGAACATGTACAAACAGCATTCAGTATATGTTGGTAAAACCTAGCACTTCTTTGGTATTAGGGGATCAGGTTAGCAAGTGCTTCTTTGCATATAGAGAAGCTGGTGGCATTATCCCTCCATGCTCAGAATTCCACACGTGCATCCAGGGAGATTAGGCACATCTATTATGCTCACACACACACTAAGTAGAAATTTGGCTGAGAACTTACTTTCTCTTTTCCTTAAAGAAAATGTCTGAAATTAATTCTTTTAAAACACCATGGAATCATGGAAGTAATTATAGAGCAAAAGAAAGAATCATGAACTAGGGGTACTGTGGAAATAATCTGAGTTCAGCCATTAAGCCAGTGCATGATTTTGGGTGGACCAATTTCCTCAGCTGCAAAACCAGAATCAAGCCATGGGATCTTTAACTGAGTGATTGGAATCCCCATAATGGCTCATTTGAGTTCACTTCCCCTTTAACTGAGCCTGATCAAATCTTCTTCTGTTTTCAGAATCCACACACTTGTCAAAGATATGCTATACTATATCTTCAAATAACTTACGCTTTATTAAACACATGGAATTCATTTTTCTCCAGTATCTTAGTGTCATAGGCAAATAAATGCAAATCCTGAGTAGGTTTGAGGAATGGACTAATGAGAGACAAGAAGAATAAAATCTAGCAATTTATTCAGTAAGCCTGTGCCCAATGTTTATGTGCAATGTGAATAGAGCATAGCAATTTGATTCAATATTTACCCAAGGTCTATCACACCTAACATAGATTCTAGTCTCTGGGGATAAAACAGTGAATAAGATAGGTCATTGCTTGGTCACCACTCACATTTTAGTGAGAGGGCAAAAGATAAACAAGAGCAAATAAATAAGAAAGACATAATAAAGATAACAGAGAGGAAGGGACTAGAGGGTGAGTGGAGTGAGGAGGGAAATGCTAATTCATCATGGATACATAATAAAAGACTTTGTGTGTGTGTGTGTGTGTGTGTGTGTGTGTGTGTGTGTGTGTGTGTGTGTGTGTGTCAGTTCGGGGGACTTGAACTTTGGACCTGGGCACTGTCCCTTAGATTTTTTGTTCAAGGCTGATGCTCTTATCACTTGAGCCACACCTCCACTCTCAGATTTTTGATGGCTAGAGACAAAAGTCTCAATGAAATTTCATACCTGGTCTAACTTTAAACTGAGATCCTTCTATCTCAACCTCCTGATGTGAGCCACTGGCACCCAGCTAATCAAGGACTTTTGATAAAACAACCTCTAAACAGAGAAATGGTGGGCCATGTGTGTCTCTGTGTCAGTTGAATTCCAGATTAAAGAATATCAAAGGCACAGACCCAAGGGGACATCTGGATGGGCATGTTTAAGAACAACAAGAAGGCCATTGTGGCTGCACTGAAGTAAACCAAGGAGGCTCTAGTAGATAATACTAAAGGGGTAGAGGAAAATCATGTGGTTCCTCATAACCACTGTAAGAATTTGGCTTCTATTCTGAGCAAGAAGCATCCTCTGGGGAGTCTTGAGCAGAAGAGTTAAAGGATAAAGCTTGTATTTAGGTAATGTGCAAGGGACAGTGTGGGAGAGAGAGTATGTAGGAGGTTATTCTTGTAATCCAAGTTAGAAATCATCATGATCTACAGCAGGGTGGTGGTGGTGGCACTGATGAAGAAATAGTCAAATTCTGTACATATTTTGAGATAAAATTGATATGATTTGCTTCTGGACTGAATGTGGAGTGTGAAAGGAAGAAAACTGTCAAAGACAACTTTAAGACATTTGCTACTTGGTGCCCAGAGAAAGGCTACTTCTCCGGGCATCATTGTTAGCTGGGTGGGATTATGGGAACAGGAATGGGGACTCAGCAGGCAGGACATGTCCAGAGGGGATTTAGGTGGCTTGTTTTTCAGTGCATAATGACAAAGTGTACTGGTTTGACTTAACTAACTTGGTGTCCAGGGACTATCATGACTTTTGGGAAGCCTCAAACCAAGCATTTCCCCTGAAACCCTGAAGGCATTTCTGTTTGCTTCTGCTCAAGAATCAGAAGGCTACAGAGGAGGGCTAGGGAAGAGAGATCTGTTTGCCAACAGCTGGGAGGGGAATCCCTTTCTTGTAAAGAGTAAGGGCCAGTTTGAAATTTGCAATATGATGGAGGTCTGATTGTTTACGAATCTCTGCAACGGTTAGAATTAGGTTGGCTGAGCTGAAAGGAGAGATGTTTAGATAATAATTGGGAGTTATTATTTGCACAACAAAAAACCAATTGGAAATAATGCATGTATTGAAAAATCAGAGCTTAAGTGTATATGCAATAGAGATTCAGGTATAGCCTATCAAAATTTATTGGTGTCTACTTTGTGAATATTGCTGACTACTATGAGAGATGGAGGAAGAGCAAAACACAGTTCCTGTGCTCAAGAGTTTATCAATAAGAATGACAATGTGTGTAGTAGTACAAAAATGAAAACTCCTTTATAGGCACTATGTGGGTTGATTGTATGAATAGTCCATTCCTGTTACTACAGCCTTTGCCCTGTACCTTTGTGGTTCCCTTCTACTCTGACTCTGGCCTCATTTGGATAACTTGTTTTGATGTGTGGATAGAAGCAGAGGCTTGGAAAGCACACATATTTCCTCTGTACTTCTCTATGTTTACGGATGTGTTTTCTTTTTCCTTTCTTCCTTGTGGTGGGAACATGCCAGGCTAACCTTCTGCAGATGTGCAAGAGGCATGTGGCGAAGATCCAAGGCCAGCCTAAATCCACTGACAGCCAGACAGCCCTGGAACATGGAGGAAGCTCAGTCAGGAGGGGCAGAAAGGTTTCCCTAGCACACAGTAGGACTTCAGATGCATTAAGTGATCCAGTTCAGACCAGAAGAGCTTTCCAGTCGATCCTAGATTCATGAGCAAGAGTTAATGGCTACTGTTTTAAGCAGAGGTTTTGGGATAGTTTTAAAAATAGGGCTCTTTGCAATGTCATTCCTGCCTGCTCTACAGCTTCCTGTCCCCCACCCCAATGCACTTCATGTTTCAGGTTTACCTGTACTTCTGAAATTGTCTTCACTTGGGCTGGGAAGGTGGCTCAGTGGTAGAGTGCTTGCCTTGCAAGCCGGAGGCCCTGGGTTCGATTCCTCAGCACCACATAAGCAAAAAGATAAAAGCCGGAAGTGGCGCTGTGGCTTGAGTGGTAGAGTGCTAGCCTTGAGCTGAAGAGCTGAGGGACAGCGCCCAGGCCCAGAGTTCAGGCCCCACGACCGGACCCAAAAAAAAAAAAAAAAAGAAAAGAAATTGTCTTCACTTGGTCTCTGCCTAGACAACTATCCTTCTTTTTAAGGCTCAGCTCTGGTGCTTCTTCTCTGAAAAGTTATTCTGAATCTACAGGCTGCTTGTGCTCCTTCCCTGAACGTCTTTGGCAGAAGGTACATACGTCATTATAGTGTAGTATGTTAAGTGTTCTCTTTCTACTATACAGAAACTTTTGGACAGCAGGAATTGTACATTCTCTCTCTCTCTCTCTCTCTCTCTCTCTCTCTCGCTCTCTCTCTCTCTTGTTTATTTTTGAACTGGGAGTCTTGCTGTCTAGCCTAGATTGACTTTCAATTCATGATATTTCTACTTCAATCTCTATAGTGTTGGAATTATAGCCATGAGTCACTGTACTCAGCCCAGGATTTCTGTATCTTGAATATGGTCTTTGATACACAATAGGATCTCCACAACAATTGTATTTTTTGATATTGAGTGTCATGAAAAAGAAGAAATTACTAAGTTAATGGGAAAGGCTTCATAGAAGAGGCAGAACTTGAAACTCTCCTTAGTTTTAATGCGTAGACAGGGTTTGAAAAATGAGACAAACATTTCAGAAGGGCAAAGTGGCACTTCTATGGTATCACTGTATTACAGAATTCAAGACAGGTACAGTCAGAGATGGCTCTTTTGTAGGGGGGGGGTCATGAATAGCATGGTATTTGGACTATATTTGGCTGTGGAGTGATACTGCAGAAAACTGTATTTTTAAAGATTGCTTTGGAAGGATTGTAGAATATACAATGGGGGTAAGGAAAGGAAAAGATGGTACATGTAAACCTATCCCTTGACTCCTGGGAAAATTCAGACAAAAGGCAATGGTGACAATGGGAATGTGTAAGAATACATAGGACCCAATAACAAAATGTGGGAATTGCAAAAGAGGATATAATTGAAGATGACCACCATATTTTTTTCTCCTAGTGCCTGGGAAAAGGAGAACAGGCTGGACTGAGTTTGGATGGACTGGATTTGAGATGTGTGTAGTTGGAGATCCCTAGCAGATTGTAACAAATGTGGACCTGAAGCTCAGGACAGAACTGGCATACATGGAGATATTTTACCTTGAAAAGGACAAGGGCTAGGGAGATTAGAAACCCACAGGAATATCTAGACATCATATCTTTACTCCTAGGACAAGAAAAGAAAGTAGAACCTGCAAAAAGAGACAATGATAAAAGAAATAGGAATCACAGAAGGTGGTAAATAGTCAAGAGCACTTCCTAATAAAGGAATAGAGGGTTATGGGAATGAGGGCTATGGGAATGAGAATTAAAAAAAGGTTAGTGGGTTTGATTGTTCAGATGCTAGTATCTTTGAGAAAAGAATACTTTAGTCTATAGTTATGGTTTATCAAGAATATCACTCTGGATCATCAGCTGCTTGATATGGCATGGCAATGATTAGTTTTAAACTTACCTTAGAGTTCTAAAACTGTTAACGATCTATCTGTCTATCTATGTATCTATGTATCTATCTATGTATTTATGTATCTATGTATCTATCTATCTATCTTTCTTTCTGACTAACTATCTTTAATAGCCTACTTGTTCATATTATTTGAATAAGAAATGTTGATCTATTAACATGTAAAACTAAATTGTAAGTTTTCAGTTTCCTGAAATGTTGGACCCTGGCACTGGGGCCTCATATCTGTAATTCTAGCTGTTCGGGAGGCTCAGATGTGAGGATCACATCTGAGGTCACATCTGAAGTCAATCGAGGTAGAAAAATCTATGAGACTCTTACTCAGCAAAAAGCTGGAGATGGGGGTGTGATTGAGGTGGTAAAACACCAGCCTTGAGCAAAAAATAAATCAGGCAAGGACTCAAAAAAAAAAAGGCTCTGTGTTCAAGCCCCAAGAATAGCATAAAATAGGCAGATAGATAAATAGATAGAGAGATAGAGAGAGAGACATAGATAGATATGGGAAGCCAGATGGATGATATTATCAAATGTTGTTCATCCCTTAATAACCAGTGTTTCTTTCTTTTTTGGGAGGAGGAGGGTGGGTTGTGGGGTTTGAACTTAGGACCTGGGTGTTGCCCCTGAGCTCTTTTGTTCAAGACTAGCTAGCCACTACTTTGAGCTACAGCTCCACTTGCTTTTCTGGTGGTTAATTGGAGATAAGAATCTCCTGGACTTTTCTTTCAGGCTGGCTTTGAAGTGTGATGCTATGATCTCAGCCTCCTGAGTAGCTAGGTTACAGGTGTGAGCCACCAATGCCCAGATACCAGTGTTCTTTTTTTAAATTTTATTTTATTATAAACATGCTGTACAGAGGGGTTACAGTTGCATGAATAAGGCAAAGTATATTTCTTGTTGAGCATTGTTACCCCTCTCTTGTTCCCCCCCCCCAGTGTTTCTTTTTTTTATTTTTTATTATTATTATTTTTTTTTGGGTCCGGTCGTGGGGCCTGAACTCTGGGCCTGGGCGCTGTCCCTCAGCTCTTCAGCTCAAGGCTAGTGCTCTACCACTTGATCCACAGCACCACTTCTGGCTTTTTTCCTTTTTGCTTATATGGTGCTGAGGAATCGAACCCAGGACCTCAGGCATGCAAGGCAAGCGCTCTACCACTGAGCCATCTTCCCAGCACCCCCCTCCCCCAGTGTTTCTTATATGTTCAAATTTTAGGAGAAATAGAAATTTTACTATGATATAGATACAATCACTCATCGAAGCCAGGTGCTAGTAGCTCATGCCTATAATTCTAGCTACTCAGAAGGCTGAGATCTGAAGTTTGCTTGAAGATAACCATGAGTTTCTTATCTCCAATTAACCACCGTAAGGTCACAAGTGGAGCTGTGGCTAAGTGCTAGAGTGCCAGTCTTGAGCACAAAAAGGTAAGGGAGAACACCCAGGGCCTAAGTATAAGCCTCGTACTGGCATCAAAAATAAAGGAAGGAAGGAAGGGAGGAAGAAAGGAAGGAAAGAAGGAAGGGAAAGAAAGAGAAACACACATCCCATTCTTTACATTTTTAGATTGTTTTTCAGTAGTCTTGAGGTTTTCAAGGCCTGCCTTGAAATTTGATCCTCTTAACTCTTCTCCCAACTAGCTGAGAGTATGTGCCCCCAGGCCCAGCCATTGCTCTTTAAGCTTGAGTTCACATTAGTACTTTATAAAATAGAAAAGCATTTCACAGGTAGTATGCCCATAACTGTGTATATAAATACTTAACTGGGCATATAATTAAGTCTACAGTAAATATACATGAAAATATTTGTACTAAATAATAAAAATTTACACATAATTTTAAATGCATTTATCAGAATTTTCCAGTGAAGATCATGATTTTATGACAAGGAATCTCAAAAATTATTTTTGAAGTCCATGTTTATATAAAGAGAGTTGAAATTGGATTTCTTTTTGCTATATTAGTTTAAAGTTTCTCCAGTATTCTTAGGTCTGCTTTTGAAAATGTTTCACTAAAATATTGGGGTGAAAAAAATTACAAACCAGGTTTCAGTAAAGCCAACAGTACAACCATGTCATTGCAACACTAGTCACTATAGCCAAGTTATGAAATCACCGAGATGACTCTCCATAGATGAATGGATTAAGAAAATATGGCATGTATGTATACATATATGTATACCTATATACATATATGTATATAGGTATGCATACACACACACACACACACACACACACACACTGAGAAATTGTATTCATCCATTAGAAATAATACCATTTGTAGAGAAATTGAAAGACTTGGAAAAATTATTAAGTCAGGGATTGAAATACAAAGGTTGCATGGTTTCCTTCTTATATGGAAGCTAGAATTAGCCTATAAACCTATAAGTAAACATGTTGGTTTGTATGCAAATGTGTTAATTGAAATATGGTAGATTCAAGGGAGAACTCAAATAATGTAATTCCTTAGAGAGGCAAAGTGGAAGCCCCACAGAATAAGCACCAGGGAATGGGTACTTGCAAAAGGTCAGAGTGGGACCAAGGGGAGGGGAGTCAATGAATGAAGAGGAGAAGGGGAGAATGCAATCAAGAATTCAATGTGTACACCACGAAATTAGGGGAAAAAGAAAACAAGAAAAGAAAGAAAAAAGAAAAGAGCAAAGAATAGAAAAATTACAAAAAAAGGAAAGTAAGGCAAGGGGTAGGTCGGGAAGGATGAGTAAGAATGTTGAAAGGGATGACACTAATCAAGATGCATTGTATTCATTTATTTATTTTTTTGGGCCTGAACTCTGGGTCTGGGTGCTGTCCCTCAGCTCTTCAGCTCAAGGCTAGCACTCTACCACTTGAGCCACAGCACCACTTCCAGCTTTTTTCTTTTTGCTTATGTGGTGCTGAGGAATCGAACCCAGGGCCTCAGGCCTGCAAGGCAAGCGCTCTACCACTGAGCCACCTTCCCAGCCCAATGCATTGTATTTATAAACTGCTTTGTTAATTAGCAACTCCTTTCTACAACTACTTCAGGATAATAAAAATATTGGTGTGATATATTATTATCATTATTAATTTTTACTGGAGATGTCAAATGTAGAGAGAAAAGTCTAAGGACAAACAGAGCTGTTGCAGGTGGTTGGATATGCTGGAGTTTCTCTCATGTCCTCTTTGTTAGGAAGAGAATCCCTCCTTCATATCTTTCTTCCTCTTTTCCTTCTATGCTGGCACAGGCTGCTGCTGCTGATCTGTGAGGTCAGCCTGGGGAATTGAGGTTGCTTCTCAGAAGGAGAGCTACTTTTATCTCTACTGGACGGCAAACTACCTTGATCTTTTGGGCCATGACCCCTTTTGAGTTCATGATGGTTTCTGGACAAGGAAGAAAAGCAGTCCTTGTGCTCCCAACTGTGGGGTGCTGGGTTTTTGGGGTCCAGTCCATTGCAGATTCCTGAACATCTTACAGATGAGGAAGCCTTCCAAAACCGAATTTTGGTTTGGGTGTCTAAGAATGAGAAGAATTTTCTTTTGAACCTTTTGATTTTTTCCAGATAATTCAAGTGAAATGTCTTTAATACTGGAGTTCTAATAAACAATTTAAAGGCATGCTGACATAGACCTTGTCATTACAGCGATTGCAGAGGCAAGGATCTTGAGTTGGAGGTCCCCTTAGGCACACACAGTAAAACAAAATACAAACAAAAAGGGCTGAGTTGTGGCTACAAGAGTTGAACACATGGCTAGCATGCACAAGGCCCTGGGTTCAATCCTCAGGAACATACACACACAAAGTTGTTCCTGCTTAATCACACCACTCAGGAGTTTGGGACAGAAGGATCATGACTTCAAAGGGCTAGATAATGAGTTCCAGACCAGAAAAATAGAACTTAAGAAAGTTTGATTTCTTGTTGAAGAAATATCTTGATGCCTCAAGCAGATGTCTCAAGTAGCCTTGCTTCTCCAAGTACTGTTACTTAATCTTTTTAACAAACTCTGGATTCTTTGAAGATAAAGCAAAATATAAGCAAAAACAAGAGAGAGGTTTTATTCCCTAGGTGTAGATATGTTGTTTGTTTGTTTGTTTGGTGTGTAGACAGTTTCTTAACTCTATAATGTAACTTTATGAAAATTATTTGTGGGGTGTATATAATTCTTAATAAAAATCCTAAGGAAATCTACCTTACTTCAATAGAAGCTAAGGAGGAAAGAAAGGCAACTTGATGGGGAATTCTCTAGGGTAGATATACTAATGGGTGTGATGTAACTTTCAAAACCAAAATTAGTGTGTTAGTCACTTCAACTATTTCTAAGAGCTGAGACTGAAAGTAATAAAGATTTTTTTCCCCCTTGAATGTTTCCAGGCCTCATCTCCAACTCCTTTAGTTCTTTGGATACCTTCACTACTCCAGTCAACTAAGACTAGCAATTCACTACTCCAGTCAACTAAGACTAGCAAGCCCAATCCTTTCCCCCCATTCCTATATGGAAGGAAGGTGAAGTCCCAATTACAAATGATTCATCCAGATCCTCTGTATGATTGCCACTAATCTAAATTCAGATGAATTATTTTTTCCATAATTATTACTACAATTAATGATTTACAAAAAAAGGTTCTCTTCAAGCAACTGTGTTAAATTATTGTACTTTTCTGGGGGAGAGTGGTAAGGCCTTGGCCACAGTGAAGACCCTTTTCTTGAGAGAGGCAAGAAGGAAATGCTTCCCCCCCCTTGGGTCTGACCCAGGTTAAGTAGATGTCCCTCAACAAATGAAGATGATTAACCCTTTCCCACCCAGGGCACTAGGGTAAAGAAGAGGAGCAACAAGTCAATGAAGCTTTTCAAAGGGGCGAATGTGACAAACCACGAGCTGTGGCTGGCTGTGGCTGTCCGTGGCTCTGATGCTCTGACCCTGGCTCACAAATCCTTGCTGGGAATGTAGGACTGCCCAGTATTCTATTCAGTCCTACACAAAGGCATTTGCCCATCAAGACAAGGGGGAAAGAGTATGCAAAAGGGTCTGAGTGGCCCTTGAGTCAGGAAGAAGAGGTGGCATGAGACACACTGATGTGTGTCACTGTGCCTGCGGGAGAGCTCCTCCTGCAGCCTGCTCCCCAGACAGACCAGACACTGGCCCGGAGTGGGAACTTGTCAGACAAAATGGGGCATCAAGGAGTCTGGTCTTGGAGCTTGGGGAAGTAGCTCTGAGAGTCAGAGCAAGAAGGACAGGCCTAACAGACCCTGCTGAGGGGAATACCTGATACTGGGCTTCTCAATCCCTATGTCCAGCTCTAGACTGCCATCCATGCAGTTAGATGTTACTGTGTATGTGTGTGTGCATGCATGTGGGGGGAGGGCTGCAGGAGAGCACTTCTGTACCACCTGCCCACCGCTCAGGGCATGCAGAAGCCTAAGCTTAGAATGTGAGCCCAGATCTAAAGGGCAAAGGCTCACATTCCCCTTTCTTCCATCCCCTCCAACATGTTCCATCCTCTTTGGGCATTAGAAGGTTTTGCGATGAATAGCACTGACTATCCTCTTCATACTCCTTTTTGGATATCCACATCCTCTTAAAAGTATCCAGGGAGGCCAAGATGGAACCACCGATCCCTGTAGAGTACGACGGTTCCTGAGGAGCTGAGATCTTTATTTTAACGTCCTTATGGACAAGCTTCTTTACTTCACTTAGTAACCGGTCACCGAAGTCTTTGAAAAGTGTTAAGCCACCCGAGAACACAATGTTGGCAAACCGTGTCCGGCGAAGGGCCATGTCCGACTTGTGGATGGCCAAGGCCAGTACTTCATGGAACCCCTCACTGTCATCACCTATCAGATCTGGCTGGAATAGCAGCTCAGGGGCCCGGAAACGTGCAGGGCCCACATCAAGTGTGCTGCCGTCTGGCAAGGTATACTGCACCTTCTCTGTCTCCAAAGCCTCATCCTTCTGTGGGTTGATGGACAGGTAGCAGGCTCGCTCTTTGATGGTCTGGACAACCTCAAACTCAGCCAAGGTGGGAAAGTCGGCCCCTTCCTGGCATAGCAGTGGCCAGTAGCCAGCAGTATCCACTCGCATGATAGAGTGTGGCATGGCAAAGCCCTCGTAGATGGGGACAGCATGAGTGACCCCATCCCCCGAGTCTAAAACCACTCCTGTCGTGCGTCCTGTGGCGTATAGGCTGAGCACGGCTTGCATGGAGATCAACAGAGCTGGCACGTTGAAGAATACCTCTGCAGCTTTCTCCCGGTTCTTACTGGGGTTGAGTGGTTAGAAGAACAGGATGCTCCCCAGAGAAGGTCTGCAGCGGATCCTTGGAATAGACATACTGCCAGATTCGCTCCATGTCATTCCAGTCCCGCCCCACGCCGGGCTCCATGGGGTATCAGATGGCCAGCAGCCCCCGGTGCTCCTCTGCTTCTGATCGGATGAAGCGGTCCCCCTCTAGAGCTCCAGCCATCACCCTCAGGTGCTTAGGCCGCCCAACATAGTTTGGAAAACAGGAATCTGGTCTCCTGCAAAGCTGGCCTTGATCACCTCTGAACCGTGGGCTGACTGGTGACCATGTCGCAGGACTCCATGGCGCGGCCGGCCCTGCCCACGAGGCGGGCAGCAGGAGGCACCGGCGGGCGGGTGGCAGGGCGGACTGGGACCGCCCAGATGAATTATTTTCAACTTGAAGTTCAGATGGCCACCGGAGGATGTTTTGAACTTTTTGTGTATATCCATTTATGTATGTGCTCAAAGTAACTAGTTGAGTGTCTATAAACCCTTAAATGCTGTGGTGATGCTTCATGGTCCTCAGATAAAACACTAGTTATTTTTTTAATATATATTTTTTATTGTAAAGATACTGTACAGAGGGGTTACAGTTACATGAATAAGGTAATGAGTACATTTCCTATGGAGCATTGTTACCCCCTCCTTTGTTTTTCCCCTACCATCCCTTCCCTCCCCACTCCCCAACTCCTCCCGGCTCCCCGCACCTGAAGTTGTAAAGTTCGTTTTCAGCATAGTGTTTTGTACATCTCATTGTTACAATGGGTCAACCTGTACCTCTATTTAAACATTTTTTCCCTTCCCCTCCCCAAATCAGAAAAATGTGTATACAAGATGCAGAGCACCGGAATCAAATATAGTGAAAACAGGGGTTGTGCTGTGGGGGAGGAAACATACCAAAGAAACAAAAAAAATCACATGGTACATTATAAATATGTTAAAAACAATAGCAAGCAAGAAAAAAAAACCCACTTGTGTCCTTATCCTGGAGTTCATTTTGCTTACCACCATCTTATATGGTCATATGTACATACCTTTTGACCTTTTCTGCTTGCTATAGACATATACTAGTTATTGCAAATAAGGGAAACCATGGGACCTATGTTTCTTTGGGCCTGGCTAACTTCACTTAATATAATTTTTTCCAAGTCTTTCCATTTCCTAACAAATGGAGCGATATCATTCTTTCTGATGGAAGCATAGAATTCCATTGTATGTATGTATGTATGTATGTATGTATATATATATACATATATATATGTATACGTAAGGTATATTAAATAGGTAGGTTTCATTAGTTAGCTGGTGAAGAAAATAGCACTTGCTATTCAGGCAGGAAAATAAGTTTATTTATCAAACTGCTGCCCCAGCAACACATGGTGGAGAGGCATGGCTGCAAAAGGAAGGGGCTACCCACCCATGGGCCAGGACTTATCTAGGCCTGGGACAGGAAGAGGTGTGGCCAGGTGGGGGAAAGGCGTGGCCACACTGGATGTGGTTGTGACCTCAGGGTCTGCGGCCCTCCTGAGATCAGATGGGAGCCCTGTGACCAGAGGTGGCCCAGGATGTGACCTAGCAGGAGGGGAAGGTGACTGCTTCCAGGACTGCCAGTTCCCTAGGTAACAGAGTTGTCTGTTATAAAACAGACTTCAAAATATTTGCTCAGCTAAAATAGTTGTATATATCATTTTTAGTTTTAGGAAAAGGCTTAATTGGTCGCTGAGTGGAATTGCTGTTAGGGAGGCAGTGTGATGAGGAAAAAAACCCAAACCAAACCAACAGCCTTAGAGTTACTTAGAATAATTAATGGTGGGACAAAGGGCAAAGTAATTCAGCAGTGATACTAGGTACTATGTTTGAAATGAGCTGTAAAACATGGGGAAGAGGGGCGTTGGGAGGGAAAAAAAAAACTGGGAGAAAATGAGGGAAGAGATGACACTGTTCAAAAAGAAATGCACTCATTACCCAACTTAGGTAACTGTAACCCCCTTGTACATCACCTTTACATTAAAAAACAAACAAACTAGTTACAGATGGTAACTACAAGCCTATGTTTCAAAGTCAAATTGCTTGGGTCCAATCCAGGACCCAATTCTGTTTGCTGGTTTTTCCACATTTGGTAAATTGTCTTCTCTCCTGGTGATAGAAGTTAATAGAAAAGCAGGCATTCAGGGAATTTTAGCCTCTACAAATTGCAGGTGACAAGGTAAGTGGAGAAGCCAAAACCTGCCTGACAATGAAATAAATGGGAGCAGATGACTTCAAAAGAATGAGGAACATCCTTACTTACACCTGTAAGTAAGGATAAAAGAATGTGGAAATAAGGAAGGGGCACTAAATCTTTAGTTCCATGACTATATAGAAAACTGAAAGGAGAAGGCAGTCTTCAAGGACTCCCTAATTAACCCAAGGCCAAGCTTTGTAACGTGGTGGACAAGGAAAGAGATAGAGGCAGAGAAGGAGATAGACTGGCGTGCTGTCATCCCATGCCACAAGCTCTCCTTCTCTGCCACGTTCTTTTCGAATAAACTTTTCTATCACCTATTCTGTGAGGGTCTTGTCTGAATCCTTTCCTTGCTGAGTGCAAGGGACCATGGTCAACTTAGCTGCCCTAACTTTCTGGTATCACAATATTTGAGCTACAAGTTTTCTGGGAGGATTAAGCGAGGAAGGTACAAGAGAATTGTTCACAAAATTCCCAGTGCCCTATTAATTATTCAGACTAAAATTTTCAATTCTATCCTTGGTTGTACTTCTCAAACTTGATGTGTGGACTCATCACTCAGGAATCTGGTTAAAATGCATAGGACCCATAGGTCTATGGCCTGAAATTCTGCATTTCTAACAAGCTCCCCGGGGATGCAAAAACCTGCACCCACAGACCACAGAAGAACCGTGGTTGTCAAACCTTTCTGTGCATCTGGATTCCCTGGAGGGCTTGTTAAAACAGGACTGCTGAACCTACACCTGGGGTTTTTGCTTCAGTGGGTGGAGGGTGTGGCTGAGAATTTGCATTTCTAACAAGTTCCCAGGTGATAATCAGGCTGCTGGTTTGGAAACCTTATATTTGAGAACCTCTGATCTAAAAAGCAGATGATTATTTTATTTGGAGAGTAAATTACTTTGCTATGCTGCAGAAAATAGGAGTTGCAGGTTTAAGCCTTGAAATTCTGATGTTTTAGTTCTGATGCCTAAGCACATTATATATATATATATATATATATATATATACACATACATGTATAATATTACATATATGTATGTATACTACATACATATATATGGATATGTATTTATGTACACACACATACACACACACAAATACACTCTCAACTATGGGCTCTATCTAACATACCCCAGTAGGCTTTGTATCCTTCTGTCACAGCTGAAGTAACAACTTAACTTTAGCCATTAGGATTATGGCTCTTACTGGACAACCTCCCTCTCAGAAGAAGGGGAAAAAAGTGGGGAGAGGAAAATATTTTAGTAAGGTTCTCATTAGACATAATGAAGACTGAGCCATTTTTTTGATAGCTGTTTCCGTAAGAAATAAACATATTAGGATGGTTCTCTTCATGGACCTAATGTTAGGACATTTTTCTGGGTTAGTACAGAAATACTTGTAGGACAAACAGATTTTATGACTGCTCAAGAGTTT